TAAGAGTCATAATGCCAGTTATAAGTATTGAAAAGTGATTTTCCCTGCATTGTGGTCACCCTGAAGAGACAGAGAGGACCCTTCCCCCAAAATTTGGTTCCAGTGTCAAGAATGAGGATGCCACAGACACTGGGAGGTTATGAAAAAGTATATTTATTAGTGGTGTAATAAGACTTCCTGGGGAGAGCAGATCAGGCTCCCAATCACATATGAGAATGCCTTGAAAGAACAAAGAAAGGAGACTGATTTGGTTTGCTATTAGGTTTACAGGGAGAAGTTAGAGTGAAGAGTCACACCATGTAGGCCATGATTTACATAGTTTTCATTTCCCACCAGTGCCAAAGGACGTAGCACCCACACTTTCTTATCAACTTGCTCAGAATTGGGGCAAAACTGGATAAGGGGCTTGAAGACATCAGCATTAAAAGTCCTACTTTTTATTTCATCCTTTTGGGTTTTTTCTTCCATTGCTAAATCTATCAGAGAGTGTTCAGTTCTTTCTTCTTAAAACCATAGCATTGTGGTTAAAAACAGGCTGCTTTCATCTGTTTCTATCAGAAACTGTTCAGATTCCCAAACTGTTTACTGTGCCATTTACACATGAAAATAAAACCTCAGAGGATTGGAAACTTGGGAGGAGAATCCCCCCAAATCTTCATACACATTACCCTGAAATCATTGGCCATCTCCTAAACTATACATACATCACAGGAATTTGGAATTGGAAGGACAAAGCAGTAAATAGAAATGTCAGCAATATTGTGGTGCTAAGGAGACCAAGATCAGAACTGAACCTTGCTGAGATTGAAAATTCTTGATAAGTACCCTGTTTGGGCTTCTCCTGATCTCCCAAGTAGCCACTTTCTAGAAATGAATACCAGGCCCTGGAAATAAGGGCACAACTGAAATAAACCTGCCTTTCAAAGGCTTTACACCAAGTAGTGGGAGTGAGATATCTACTTGTAATCAGTCTACCTGCTAAAAGAAAGCTTAACCTAATTTCTTTTGGAGGAAAGTAATACCATCCAAGGTCTCTATAATTTTTTTCATTTGTGCTATCTGGAATTAAATAAGAAAATATGAGGGGTATTAGAAAGAAGCAAAAGACTTTTACTTCCAAAATTCCATTTAATATATTTCTTTTTGGTGGTCTTTTATGTAGCAAAAGAACATTTTACGCAGCAAATCCATACAGTTTTCTTATTAATCTTTGAAGTTTCATTGGTAAAATGTAGCTTTTCTTGAATGATTCTGATTTTTTTGTTTTTCTTAATAGTAGCAATTTTAAAAAAATACATAAAACAAGGTTTTCATAATAGGGACTTTTTGAAAAGCCAAGACCACCCTTTTCTCTTTTCTTTAATCTTGCTCATCATTTAAAACTCATTGTTTTAGTTTTCTTTTTTCTTTTTCACTTTTAATAGACATTAAGCAGAATCTCTTTTAGTCTTTTTTCCAATTGTTCACTATGGCAATTACTTTTTTAAATGTTAAGGATTATTGAGATATAATTTACCCTTCTAGGTAAGTTAACTTGTATTTTTTTAAACAATATTTTTTTAGTTGTAGATGGACACAATATCTTTATTTATTTTTATGTGGTGCTGAGGATCAAACCCAGTGCCCCACATGCAAGGCAAGCGCTCTACCACTGATCTACAGCCCCTGCCCAGTTAACTTGTTTTTAATATACAATTCTATGAGTTCTGCAAATGCAAGCAGTCATGTTGTTAGTTAGTAGAGATGAGCAATTGGTTACATAGCAAATCACAGGTTTACTCTAAGTTACTCTTAAAGTTTTCCTTAAATTACTACTAAAACTTGTAGCATATAACTTGTTAAAAAAAAATTGGTACACAGATGTTGAGAGTAAGCAGAGTAAAACAAAAGGAGCTAATTTGGGGAAATGCATCAAAAAAGAATTAATGGAGCTAACTCTTGACAAGATTCATTGAGGTTGATGTTAAGGTGAGCTAATTGTTAGGGCTACAGGTATCTTCATGTCTTGGAAGGGAAATTCCTTTAGTAGCACTAGGATAACTTATGATGGGTTACTGACCCCATTGCCTGCTAGGAGCCACAGCAAAAGTATTATAACACATGGCACCTTTGTTTTAGGTGACAGCCAGCTAGCCATTGAGATGATATGTTAAGATTTACATTCATATGGAAATTGGACTCCTGCTGTTCACCTCTGTTACGGGACTCATGTTATGGGACTCCCGGAGAGTTCCCATTGGTTGGGGAAGGATGGTAGGAGGGTATTTCCGGGGAAGTGCGGGCCCGGACTAAAA